ACTTTATCCTTACGATTGATCGATGGGACTTTCCGCGTCGTCGGGAGTCACGAGCGAGCCAATAAATCGCCCCTGAAGAAGGATCACCCTTTGCTCAATCGCTCAACTTTTAGCTGTGTAAATTAATTCGATGCCTTTTTTCATGAAATTCAAAGTTTATTTACAAAAAGTCAGGTACAAGCTTAATGTTCGAAATCATTTCCATTATTTTCGATGACTTTGTTCCGCCTATTGGACAGCTGATGAATGCCCTCGCGAAAGAAACTTGGCGGTTTTGATTTAATAAAGTCAATGCTTTTTCGGACTTCGTCAACTGTTTCAAAAAGTTAAAGCTACTGAAAAGTGGTAATCCGACGAAACTAGATATGGCGAGTAAGCTGCATGAGGGAGAATTTGCTAGCTCAATGTATTAGATGAGACCATTCGTCTGTTTTGCGGTCGAGTGTTATTGTGCTGCAAAATCACTTGCCTAGTTCCGTCGCCGGTAGAAGGTCTCCTTTGCCTCAGAGCGTCGCTTAAACAGATAACTTGCTGTTGGCAATAGTCTGCATTAATAGTCTGGTCAAGATTCAGCAACTCTTAATAAACTACACCCTTCATGTCCCACCAAATGTACGGCAGAATTTTTCTTGCGTGAATATTGGGCTTTGGCGTTGATGTCGACGGTTGGCCGGGATCTACTCATAATTTTCTGCGTTTAGGGTTGTCATACAATATCCATTTTTCATCACCCGTAATGATTTTGTGTAAAAAATCCTTTCTTTTAAATTGGGTCAGCAAAGACATAGTCGTGTCGAATCTTTGCTGGTTGTTTTCCGAGTTTTGAGATTATGTGGGATCCATCTACCCTCCTTTTAGATTTTTTCGAGTTGAAGTAGATGGGATATGCATTGACGGGTGACTTCCAGTTGTAGCGCAAGCTCCTGTTGAGTTTAAGCAGAGTTTTCATTTAACAGTCGCTCGAGTTCTTCGTCTTCAAATATTTTGGTTAGCCTGGACGTTCTCGATCTGAAAAATCAAAATCTCCGTTTCGAAACTTCAGGTACCATTTTTGTGCACGTCAGAGTGTCTTTACCCAGAGCGGAACAAATCATTTCCGTAGCTTCAGCAGCATTTTTCTCAATTCAAATGCGAAAGCAATGCAGTGAGATTAGGAATGCAGTGATATCGGCAGGGCCGTCAACTGTTACAGCGCTTTTTAAAGCTCAAGATTGGCGCTTTCAAATCAGCATGGAACGGGAAAAAATTTTAATTTGAACCGGAGTTACAAGACGTTAAATGCAACGGCACCGAATTAATTTGCACACCCAATAGATCAGTCGACATTTTCAGCTATAACTGATACGGCGAACCGCACGACCCAAGTCTCGAAAGTAACAAATCAACCGAGCCAAAGTTTGAACTCGATCTTTCTCGAGACCAATTTCCGTCGGGCGACGAGAACGGAAAATCGCAACGAGCAAACAAGCGCGAACGAGCGGTTTCGCTCCCGCTCCGGGCAGAGTCTAATTATCTCAATTAAAAAGCCGCGAATGAGCCTCCCGAAGTCTTATCTTCCGGCTCAGCCGCCGCGGGCGACGAGGAGGTCGCGCGACAATCGCCGATTTTCTCTCCTCTTCCGTTCAATCTTTTGTATCCTGCCGACATCTCTCTCTCTCTCTCTCTCTCTCTTTCTCTCTCTCTCTCTCTCTCTCTCTCTCTCTCTCTCTACAAGTACCTTAACACTTCGCCGGCCGCTGTCACGTACGCGTGACTTTTGCTCGCCAACGGTTATCGGCCGCTGTCACGTACGCGTGACTTTTGCTCGCCAACGGTTATCGGCCGCTGTCATGTACGCGTGACTTCGGTTCAGCGTGGCAACAATGTTTCCACTATGCTTCTGTTTTAATATCACCGTCGGCGAGCAGTAGAGCCCGCGCGAAATTCGCCGGCGGCAGCGTAAAGGCGATGCGAGAAGTAAGCGGCCGGCAAAGTGTTAAAATTCAATCACTAAATTATTATCAAATTTATTTTCCCTTCCTCATGTTTATAAATCACCAAAAACTGTCTAATTATCCAAAAGTTTAACGAGCTCCTTGATAATTCAGGATACAAAGGGTCAAATCATTGCGCTATCTTTCCTCAGTCGCGTGACGTAAGCGCAGCGGCGCGAACGACAGCCAGCGAGGTACGAGAGAAATATTTCTCCTTTTTCCCTTCTTCTTCCAGCCGTCGTCGAGGATGCCGAAGCGTTGGCTGACGCGACAACACTTCCGATCGAGAGTTCCTCGCAGCAGGACGCTGTCCGCAACTGTCGAGCCATCAGCACGAGAAGCCCCGGAGCTCTCGCTGAGCGAGACGCGGCGCACAGGTGCGACACACCGAGGATAATACGCCGCTAATCCTCGCGGCGGGCGGGGCGCGGGGTGGGGGGAGGGGAGAGGGGGAGATAAGCGGATAAGAGGAAGTCAGCGGCACGCCGTTGAGCCGGCTACTCGACGACCGCGGTTAAAAGTGAACGTGCGCGCTTTCCACGTGTTCGCCGCGGCGAAAGTGTAACGACGCGAGCGAGCGAGCGAGCGAGCGAACGCGTTCGCCAGGTGATCGGCTGACCGCGGTTCGATTTCGCTCTCGGCGCTGGCGAGCCTGATTGATCACATCGCTCTCGTCGTCCGGCGAAGGAGACAACGGTGAGAAACGTTCTTTGCGGCCGAATCGGCAGACATCGCGCGCGCGCGTACGCGCGGTTTGTCCTTCGTTGCTCTCTTCGCGATTGAACCGACTCATTGATCTCGCTTGGCTTGATCGCCAGTGACAGCGCCTGATTAAGTTTGAATCAATCGCCAGCTGTGGCCAGCGAGACCGCCGCTGTGACGCCTCGTGCTGTGAACGACGACGCTTTGCTGAAGATACACGCGCGGGTTTTCTTCCCTTGTTTCTTCATCTTGTTTCTGTTTTTTTTCCTCTTGTTTCCCCCCCCCCTCTCTTTCTCTCTCTCTCTCTCTCTCTCTCTCTCTCTCTCTGTCTTTTGTTTTGGTGATTTTTCTTTCTTGATTTGTGTTATTCATTAGCGATAGTAACGCTCCGTGTGTATTTTTGCTATTCTCTTCCTGTCTCTTCTTCTTTTGCTCGGCAGATTTGTGCTCTCGGTGTGCGCTACTAATTATTAATTATTGGCGCTTCCCTCTACTCTGTCTTTTTCTCCTGTATTTCTCCCTCTCTTTCTCGTCTGTTAGCAAAAAATTGTTTTTCCTTAGTAAATGTTGTTGATTAATAAATTGTCAGCGTTCTACTCTTCTCTTCTCCCTTTCTTCTCTTTTTCTTCATTTCTCTTACCTTTTAATTTTTTTTTGTCGGCTTATACTATTAATTATCAGCATTATTCTTTCGATTTTATGTTTGCTTTTTTTGCTAAGTACTCTTATTAATTAACACGTTGACTGCCAACTACGAGATATCTCGTAGGTTGTTTACTTGCCCAGGACGCCTAACTACGAGTTATCTCGTCCCTTCATTACTTGCCATATTTGTACAGCTACGAGAAAACTCGTAGCATAACAGTGTAAATATGAATAGATGGCCTCAGGAAAGAGAACAAAAAATGTTTTTTAAAAAAAAACATTTTTTAAGCTTTTTGATTATTACTATGTACTATTATTAAAGTTTTTAATAATATAACATGATTAAATCAAATTGGCTCTTTAGACCGGAATCGTGAAAAATTCCGTGGCAGTCAACGTGTTAATTTCTGTTTTGCCAATTACTAATTGTCAGCGCTTTCCCTTCTCTTCTTCCTTTCTTCTCCTTTTCTTAATTTCTCTTACCTTCTAATTTTTCTTTGTCGGCTTATGCTATTAATTATTAGCAATCTTCTTTCGTTTTATCTTTTTTTGCAAATCTCTAGATTTGTGTTTTAATTACCGCATTTGCTTCATCCATTACTAAAATCTGTAGTCTTATCTTTCTCTTTTCCACAAAGTACTTTGTACTGTTTACGCGAGTTCGCCTCATTCGCGAATATGTTCGCGTAATGTTTAACCTTTCGTTGTATTGTATTTCGTTATTATATTATGCGTAAGTTTACTTTCCTTCGCTCGACAAAATAACATCCTCCAAGGTGCATAATAAATAATATGTTCTTTCTCTCTCTCTCTCTCTCTCTCTTTCTCTCTCTCTCTCTCTTTCTCTCTTTCTTCGTCTATCTCCCTCTATCGCACGAGAAGTGCAACAGTCGGCTGATAAGACACCGTCAAGGCTGCTGTCCGGCAATTCTCACTGTTGGATCCGCTCGTCGTTACCTTTTATCGCTCAAGCGACTCATAAGCGATAGCCGGCTACAAATATTTGTAACGGCTTGTAACATATCGCTTGATGCGGTTAGAAACTCTATTCGTGTTTTCGCATGGCGAGACTTGAATTAGCACGACCGTTCGTTTCCCGGCAGACTTTCGCGGCGACCGTCTTCGTCGGCGGTCTTCAGGGGGCGAAGGACACATCTCGAACGAAAGAATTCGGCGGAGTTCTGTCGTCATCAGTCAGTTTTTTGTGTAAAAAAGAAATAGCTTTTCTGGTCCACTTTTATCTCGATTAATGTCCGCACACCAGATAAATGAACAAATAAACGATATTGAGTTGAGTCGAGTTGGGTACACTCGTCAAGTATTAGATAAACAAATAATCGTTGTTGAATGAAAAATATTTACCCAATTATGGCGCCGCTGGCCGATTCCATCAGCAATTTTCTCGCGCGGAGAATCGCGCGTGGACGGATTGCATAATTGCTTTCATTCACGGCAGCCTTATCGGCCGATGGCAGCTAACAAGCTCTCGCTTTCATCAGCGTGTCGGTTCACCACCTGATGCATCGGTTCTCTCCTGTTTTAGCTTGATCTCGTCCCGATCAGGAAGCATCGTCGGCGATCAGCCGCAGCGGTCATTAGCGCGCTGCTCTAATTAGTTTCGGCCTTCGAAGAAGGACCCAAGTTGGTGACTCGCAAGGACACCGCTTACACGCGGCTGTCGCTGCCACGTAGATAAACAGCGTAGTACAAGATAAAGGCACGACTTGGCGCTACCGACGAAGAGAATTCATTACCAAGGTCGACCGCAAGATAGATAACCGTGAAGGTAGCTTGCGAGTGTCAGCCTGGAAGAAATCGGCGGATTAATCGATTACGGACTCTGCGGATATGCGATAATCGAGGTTGGATCAGCGAGCTCGCTGACAAAGTCAGAGGCAGCAGTCGACCTTGAAGAGGTGCGACTAACCTGGTCATCTCCGGCCGTAGCAACGTTGCTCGAAGAAGCGTCGTCGATCGACCTTCCGCGACCGAGAGAGAGCTAAGTCCAAGAGGGACCGGCCTCCATGAGCGCGGCTTGAACTGCTGCGGACAATCTTGAAGAGCTACGTGATTGACCCGATTACTCCTGCCTCGCAGCGGCAGCGCTCGAAAGCGGAGCGCGAGCGCGACTTCCGCGGGTCGGTGATCCGGAAGAGGACGCTCGCTGGGTGACACGTGAGCGGCCGACGACGACGGCGACGACGACGTCGGGGACGACCAGTGGCGTGTAGTCCGGGGGAACCAGGGTATATGCGCGGCGTATTAATAGCCAAGTATAGAGCGGTGGTGGGGCGCCTGCCGCTCGCGGGTGAAAATAGAAAAGAATGTTTTTGGAATCCAATTGGACTTGGTTGGCAGAACGATGGGGCAATATGGCCGACTTGGCCGAGCGGGTGGACGATCTGATATGCAGTTTCGATTCGACTGGTGAGACGACCATGGATACGCTGTCGATGCTGATATTCGGCTGGATGCTGTTCGGTCTGGTGGTGCTGTGCGTCGGCAAGTACGTGTACAATCGCTTCGTGCTAAACGAGCTCGCTGGCACCTCGACGTCGTCGTCGTCGGCGGCGGCGGCGCAGCATGGCAAAGACGGCCATGCCTACCACGGCGAGAGTGTTGTGACCGCGAGTGCCGTCGGGGCCGCTGGAAGACTCTTCGACAAGTCCAGGTCGCTGTCACCATCGTCGACGTCCTTGTCCCTCACGAGACCAGGTACCGGCGGTGCAGGTGGTGGCGGCGGCGGCGGCGCCGTCGCCGCCACCGCGGCCGCCGCCGGTGGTGCTGGTGCTGGTGCTGCTGCTGCTGGTAGCAGCGGCAGTGGCGGTGGTGTAGGTGGTGCTGGTGGAGGTGGTGGTGGTGGTGGTGTTATCGGTGCGATGACGAGATCACCGTCGCCTTCGACGGCCGGCTACGTGCCGCCGACACCGCCGGTGAGGAAACGCCTGACCAGAAAGACCTCTGGTGCCCTCATCAGCCCGTCCAGAAGCTCCAGGGCGCTGCACCTGCCGACCGCCACCGGAGCCGACGCTGAGGCTGTGCGCTGGGTCAACGAACTGATCGTGTGGCTGCACTACGACCTCGTGATCCTCAACGAACTCTTGGCCACCTGGATGACCTCCCTCAACGACTTCACAGCTAGCTCCAACGATCAGGTGAGTGCTGCTCGTCGCTTGCTGGGAAGTCTAGTATTGTGTGTACTTAACTCTTGGCTCTTTGAACTCGCAACTGTGCGAGTGATGAAAATACATTCTTTGTCGTTGGATGCTTGAGTTTGATGCTTTGTCGTTGGAGGGTTGTTGAACGTTTCAGGTAGAACATGGAGAGAATATTATATGCGAATAAACAAACAAACAAACAAACGAACAAATAAATACATAAATATACATGTTTATGTATTTTATACAGGGTATCCGAGATCTTTTGGAAAGGAAAGATTGTGAAGATTAATTAGATCAAACTGCGAGGAAAAGCCAATTTACCATTTTGCAAAAATCGCAAAACTTATTAATGAATGACCACATCTAAAAACTCTTTTAATTGATAACTTGAAAATTTGCGTACTTATTTGCAAAATGATAAAATACTTTTCTGTTCAGAATAATCTAACCTACAATTATATGACGGCTATTGCGTCTAGCGATGGATGAGTATATTAAACTTTGAACTCTGAACCTTGAACTTGTCGCTAGACACAATAACCGGCATATAATTGCAGTTAAGTCATTCTGAACAAAAAAGTCATCTACCATTTTGCAGTTAAAGGGGCCTCTAGGTGTGGTCATTTTCAATCATTAATAACTTAATAATTATTGCAATTTTTGCAAAATGGTACTTGACTTCTTTTCACAGATTGATTTGATTAATCTTCACAATTTTTCGTTTCCAAAAGATCTCGGACACCGTGTATATATTTTATTTTTAATTTTGTATACATATATGTAAGAAAAATTAGAAAATTAGGGAAAATTAGGAAAATACTGGCAAAGTCAGGAAAATTTACATAAGAAAGCTACATATATTTTTCATACAAATTCGCCTTAGCTTTATTGTTTAGTAATGCGCGAATAAATTGCCATTATAGCGTTTTCGTTAAAAAACATAGTAAATTTTTTAATTGTAGACTTGAAACTTTTTGGAAAAATGAATAAATAGCATATATATGAAAACCGAAAGACAATAAATTAGAGTAGAGTTCGACATTGTACGTCGGTTAGAAAATTCTATAATAATTATCACACTATAATTATTAAAAAAAAGATTCTAATATAAATTATCAAAATTCTTCCCGTGGACAAGAATGAATGAAAGTTGCAAACTTTGAGCAATGAAGCCTGCAGCTGTCAACTGCAGCTGGCAACAAGTGAGGAAGCGAACTTACACACGAGAGGACCCTTCGAAGGGTTCGCTTTTCAGGAGTTTGATATTAACGGCAGAGAAAATTTCTTACGGAAATCTCCAATGGCGCCCCTTGGATTTCAAATCTCTTACGAAGCTAATGGTTGCTGCTTCGCGATTGGATGTGGAATCCGTGAAGCGCCGTTTCGCGTCACCTTCTGAGATTTATAAGAATTTTAACCCTCGGCCCTCGGAGGGTTGAGAGGACACGGGGTCGTCAGTCGGGAAGGTCGCGGAGATGACGCGACGAGTGCTTTGCGGGAGACGCGGGACTTTGCGCGAGATGTGAGCCGCTTCTCGAGGCGTGGGTGACTCCGGCGGCGAAACATCGGTGAAGAGAGGAGGGGAAGCTTGTCGTATGTGTGTGTGTGTATGTGTGTGTGTGTGTGTATGTATGTGGGTCGAGTAGGTCGAACGGTCGCATGGAGCACGATGACTCCTCTCGCGCGCCTCGACTCGCGTCGAGGAGTCACAAAGAGAGAAAGACCCGTTTCAATGTTGCGAATCTTCGTTGAAGCGGCCGACGCTTCTCGAGATTAATCGCGCGACGGTTTCACTCCTCAGGAAGCGATCGCCGCGGTGTCTGTGCGGACACGCGACTTTGTCGGCCGCTATGTGCTCGACATTGCGGGCGTCCGTCCAACGTCCAGATCTTGTCGTCCAAAGATTAATCCTTCAGCGTCTTGCCGCTTTCAAGAAGCTTTTAAGAAGAGAAATTATGCCGTTCGCGCGTCGAAGGCACACGCGAGAAAATGCAGGTGTTAATTGTTTCAGGTATTAGTTAACAAGTCAATCGCATTTCACTCAGAGTACTTTCTGAATCCTGAACTCAGCATTTTAATCAAGAGATTATTAAACTAATTTTTAGCACTTTCATCGCGAATATTAATATTGAAGCAAGAATATTAAATTGAAAGAAAGAGAGCTTGGTTTACTGTTTTTCCTATATAGAGTTATTTATTTATTTGCGATGTTAAATATCTTTTTTAGTACATGTGGATGAGCTTTCCTGAAGTTTATAACGAGAATATTTTAAAACTATTATGAAGAAGACATTCTTTGACAGAAACAACCATTTCAAAAGAATGAAAATAAGCAATTACCTTTCTGAGTAGGAAAACGATATTTTTCTCCGTGTAGAAATTTTAATGTTCTTACTATATAAATAAATTAAAGGGTAATAAAATTTGACATAGAAATTGACTTGATGTATACAGGGCGTTTCACATCAACTATTAAATATTAAAATGTCAGTAAAAGCCAAATCGAAATAAAAAGTCCTTTGCCATTTTTCAATGCGAGCAATAATTATTAATTAATTGAGTGTTATGCTGTCACCTTACCTTTTAAATTAACTCCTCAAAGCGCATAGATATTTTATTTGTGTACTTAAATCCTAAACACCTTTATGAATTAATTTACCGCTTTAAACTTTAACTTCTCGACTGGTTTGTTTAAATAAGAATAAATAAAATAATGAGTTATTGTCACATACCGCTTTAATATAGAGGATGTATAAAAATATCTTGAAAACTAAGCAGTTTAGAAAAAAATGTTTTAGACAAAAGTTATATGGTTTCAAGGGGACATGAAACAAAACCGTATCATTTTGTTTACAGATGGCGCCGCTTTCGAGGTATTCACTGATCGTTACTTTTCTTAAACGGAAAATTCAATTTTTTATCATATCATCTTCTTCTTTCAATTAATTTGCACAACTTTTGTCTGAAACATTTGTTTATTTGTTTAATATTTTTGGAGATATTTAACTTGGTAACTTTGTCAATATTTAACTGACGATATCTCTCTAACTATTTGTCGGAAGAAAAAGTGACACCAGACTGTTTTATTCCATCTAGTCTCAAAAATATATTGTTGCAATAGCGCCCTGACTTTTATTAATTTGAATGATTTTTATATAATAATTTGATTTGATTTGATGATTTTGAAATTTCCAAAGGTCAATGAGTTAACAAAAGTTCGGGCACTATTGTAACAATATATATACTCTTGAGACCAAATAGAATAAAAAAGTCTAATACCACTTTCTCCTCCCCCTTTTATTCCCTTTCTCTTTCTAGTCTCTTCTCCGCATGTTACGCATTCGGCCGCGCACGAAGCGTCTGCACCGATAAGAGAGAAATAAGCAAACAAATTGTATCGGGAAACGGTCGAAGGAATAAAATTGGTAATATTACGTGTACGTTATAAACTGTTCGTTTCGACTCGGAATTTCCCAACAGCTGATGCCCGTTTTGGCCGTCGTAAATTAAACGGCGAGACAATCGGCGATCGGTGCTCGCGTCACACGCAGCCGTGCGACTTTTCCCCTCCGAGGTGCGGCTGCGAAGCCGAATTGACGATTCACATGGGTCAAGGTGTGTTACATCGCGCGAGCGGCGAGCGGTCGCTATTTAAAAAGGCGTCACGGATCGCCGCTGTCCTTGCCACGTGTAAGCGATGGCGTCACTGTGCTGGAATAACTTAAATTTCGTCAGAGATCAAGTCTCACGACGCGTCCCCGATTAATTATGATACCATGTGTATCACGAAGCGCACGTTCGGTCGGCCTCACTCACGCGTGCGCACGTATCACTCTCGTTCCTTTCCTTTTCCTTTTTTTTTCCTTGAAGAACAACAACTCTCGTAAAGGTTCGTCAATTCTTCGCGCAATCTCACGTAACCGGACGGGTATCATTCATGCCTCTGCCGATGCCCTGCGTTTTTACCCGCGGTTAGGTTAGGTTAGGTTAGGTTAGGTTAAGTTAGGCTATCGGAATCGGCATTTGTCCATTCTGATTAACGACGGATGCGATTGGTCCGATCGGAACGTCACATTCACACTGCCTCATACCTTCAATTCCGCGCGTAAACGTGCAAATATGATCGGGTGGAAGGGCGGGGGAGAAGATATCGTGCGACGAGCGATCGCGTGCCGTCTTTGATAATTTGCCGGTAAACGTAACGAGAGCCTTTTACGTGTTTCAGCATGGCGTCGGCGTCGAGTTTGTCCGTGTCTTGCCGGAGACGCACCCGCCTACCCTGTCGAACATTTTCTGCGAGTGCGATTCGAAGGACGACGTGGTACGTAGACGTCCCGTTTCCGTTTCCGCCGCGGCCTCGCCTGCGGCATCTTCCCCTCAGCACGCGTTGTCCCATTTTTGTCTTGGTGGACCTGTCAACACGTCGGCCGACGAAACGCGAAGCGAGTTATATCTCGTGGTTGGCGTCTGTGAACGGAATTCTCTGGCCCCGCGTGCCAACTGCGAGTTACCGGCCAGTTAATTGGGCTTTCTTTGTGCGTGGGTGAGCTTTTGTCGTACGTTTTACTGAATAACTGAGCGCAAGGAATTAGCGTATTGAAGTATCGCGCCGGCTTGAAAACGTGTCGACGACCTTGACGTGCGAGTCTCGCGACAGGGTCGCATACGGAGTTCATTTATTTCTTTATAACGCGATGATGAGACAAAGAAAGAATATTAACGAGGACCTTTGAGATCTCGGCGACTCTTGAACCCACTCTTGATGACCGACTCTTGCAACGAGGTCTTGTTATGAGTGAACGGTCGATTGTCTTATCTTACGTTTTCGCAGACTATCACGTGCGACTGCGAGGCCACCCCGGCTCTGCAGCTGAAGGCGTTTCGACAGCGGGGCGATAAGCTGGAGGTCAATCATTATCGGGTCAACGTCAACCGCTTCCGCGCCCGGCTGAACATCGTCTGCATCACTGAGAAACTGCTGGTCGACCTGAAGTGCGACGGTTGGCCGGAGGTACGCGAGCAAACGCATGCGATCTCATTGTCCGCGGATTTCCGCTGACGTAACAGGCGGCAAGCCTCCATCATCGCGGTCGTAGCTTTCCGCCATTCATCCGCCTGGGCCATGTGCTAATGCGACGCTAATGCATACAGGGTGTCCAGACTTGAATGTAGCAAAGCTCGTCAGAGGGAACGGAAAAGTCCTCTAGCGTTTTGCAAACAACCGCGATCATTTCGAGACGTCAGTCTCTGAGGGAGAGGGAGGGATGTAAGAAATCGGAGCGTGCTGGACGAAAGGATATTATTTACTGCGTTTCCGTATCAGGTGAAGATCTCCTTGGCGGCGGTGGGCACAATAAAGAAAGACCTGGACGAGAGCCAGTTGCAAGAAGTGGTCACGGAAATTGTGGTGGGTGCTCTGCGAGGCATCAACGTTCACTTCAATCTCTCTCAATACCCCACCTGTCCTCGACTATGGCGAGAGCCGCCTCCTCAGCCGGGCTTCTCGTCGCCCATACACTACGACAGCATGGTAAGCGATTCCCCGACTAAGTGGCGATTGTTCGATTGAACGTCTCGCTGTGAGAAGAAAGAAACAACGTGTGCGCGTTGCGTTGTCGAGTTGAAGCTCCTGGTCCCGCGGGGACTTTGTCGCGATCACCTCAACCGATGACGTCAGAAGCGGAGAAATTCTTGCAGAGTACGTCGAGCTAGGAGATGTTGAAGTAAAAAACGATGTTGAAATAAAAAAACGGCATTGCGATTGGTTGGGCCGATTTATGAAGTAAAACTGCTCGCTTTATGCGTAACTTGTTTTCTGATTTTGTCACGTAAATTTTATCATGCATTGGAGCAAAGGGAACTTTTGGAATCATTTTGCAAATTTCCTTCGCAAGGGCTTCAAAAGAAAAAGTATATATTTGTTCACTTCTGACATCATGATCTAAGATGATTGAGGTGAGAAAGCAGCAGGAGTCTTGCGAGTCGATTAAGGAAAAGATGAGGAAAATGAGATTGAGCGAAGGAACGTAAAGTTTCTCCTCGTTGTATACGTTGCAATTCCAACGTAACATTACATTGACGCTGTTATCAATCCTGATGACATCCTGATGATAACATCAAAATTTATCCGAATGTTATAATTCCCCCCCCCCTCCTTCTCATTCAATAATGCAACAGCGATGCAACACATCTTGCACACAACAGTCACACTGTCGAGCGAGCAGCTACGGTATTGGTGCAACTTCCTCCTGTTACAGCATTTGTCATGTTACACTCGCAAGTTGTTGAGTGGGAAGTCACAGGATTGATGCAATGCGTTGCACGGGTGACAACATCAAGTCAAGCCGTTTTTCAATGTTTACAATGTTTACTGGTATTGTAATATCCCAGTCTTAACCCAATCACAAGTTCTCCGTCTGAAATCGAAACAGAGCTCAAGTTTTTCCGTGTTTTCCGTGTTTATCGCACTTTGTTCAAAGCACTTTGAATACACATGCGCTCTTTGGACTGTCGCATGTTCTCTCACCACCTCGCTTCGTTCTCATAGAACGTCTCGAACTCGATGCTGCAGTCCCCGCAGCAGCGTCTTCAGGCGCATCCTGCGTCCTCACCAGGACCGATACAATACATGCCCGGCGAGAGGCGGCTGCTCGTGAAGGTCGTGAAGGCTGCCGACCTCGGCGGTCAGCGAGGTGCCATGGAACCCTACTGCGTGGTGGAGTTGGATGAACCACCGCAGAAGAACCAGACCGCCATCAAGAAGGATACGAAGAACCCGCTCTGGGACGAGGCGTTTCTATTGTGAGTTCAAAGTGCCAGGTTTTGCCTTTGTCAAGCCCGTTAGGGCCGGTCGAGAATAAGTTGCAACCACCCAGTTGCGAAGGGTGGCAATTAGTTGCAAAGTGCCATCTCCGGTTGCAAGAGACAGTCTAAAAGGTTGCTAAAAGAGAGTTGCCCAACTTTTAATTTCTTGGCGACAGCAACCTGCAACTGTAACATCTCAGCCAATCGAGTATCGAATTTAGGAAGAGCGCGAAAAGTGACACCACAGATGAAGGTTGTTATAAACGGTGCAATGTAATTTTTTATGCTTTTGCAAATATTTATACGCATTCCGTTATTTGTAAAAAAAAATGGATACTACAGAGCGGTACGAATTGGACATGCTTAAAGCAGTTGGAGAAGAATCCGAAACATGATTACTAATTATATACATAAAGACAAATCAATTCCTAATTGATAAAACTGAACTAGATTTTAGGAATAGAAGAAAAAGATGGGATACTTAGAAAGTTATTGCTATGTTAGTTAATAAAACAGGTATATCTGTTTTATGTACCGTCTTTGTGTAAAATTTGAGGTTAGTTTTAATTCATGGCTTCAATATAGGCGGTTAGACGTCAAGTAATTTTATTTACTTCTTGTTAACACTATTATTTCATTAAAGTGACTTTCATTAAACTATGGTTAATTAGCAAAAATAGTCAATGTTACCTGATTATTCCGTCAGCTCAATCAAGATTAATGGACGACGAAAAAGCGGACGTTCTATCTTCTGATTGGTTATTTTTTCACAACTTGCAACTCTCGACAGCTGTATGTGGATCAGGTGTTGCAATGATTTACAACTTGCAATTGACAATTTGCCCTTCCGCAACTCGCAACTGAGCGTTGCAGCCTGTTCTGGACCGGCCCTTATTGTTACTCTCCAAATCGTTTGAGGTGAGCTCTCACTCAAAGTGAGCGAAACTCCGCTTGAAGTAACGATGAAAATACTGCCGCTAGAGGGTGGCTCACTTGGCAAAGTATTTGCTTGGGTACAATTCCTGCTCTGGTTTCCTTCTCCCGATTAGATTTTTTGCATAATCAAGCAGATTTGCTCGCGCAGCGAAAAATTGTGTTCGATTGGGAATCTCAATCTTTAATTCCAAGTATAAGTTTTTCTGTCTAGAATCGAAACCCAATTTGTGTTTTTCTGTCTGTTGAGTAAAATACTTTTCTACGGAATCAACTTCATTCCTATATTATTTGGAGAACACTTTATTCATACCTACACTCTTTCCAAATATTTATGTTTGTAAATTGCAATTACCCAAAAAAATGTTTCATGTGCTTTGTGCAATTCTGATGCAAAATGGAAACCACGAAAAGTCTTTGGGAAAACGTTGGAGAGAAGAAGTGAGATCTGTTTGATCTCCACGCGTGGAATTGCGTGTTCGAAACGTTACACCTCTAACCTAAATCTGCATTTCTCAATCAGGGCCCATAATATTGTCGAAAAGTGGAGCTGGACTTTGATTAAATCTCAAGACATTTTATAAGCGGATAATTTCTGTGCGGAATATATCAGATTCCTTGCTAAATTTCGAGAAAAAAAGACCATAGCACGTTTCAGAGCGGAAAATTCACTTCATGAAGGGTGAAAAGTCATGCGAACCCGAGTGGCCCGGCTGTCGCCTTACTTTTCGAGTGGAGTTTCGCTCGAAGAAATTTGGAGAGAACACATCGTTCGGCGTCGCTATTGTTTTATTTCGTTACACATTATCGAATTGTCGCGTATTCTATAATTATCCCGCGGAAGGCCGGCTTGTATGGAGGGGCTGAAAGCCTCGATATTTGCATTCGCAGCGACGTTAGTCACAACACGACCGAGGTGTTGTTGGAGGTGTTCGATCACGTGAACAAAAGCCAGAAATTCTTGGGACTGGGAATCGTGGGCGTTGAGGAGCTCCTCGCGAATCCGAGCCAACGGCAAATCATACCTCTTCAGGCGCGACCATACGAAGAGGATGACATTACCGGCACTCTCACGGTGGAGGTAACCGTTCCTTTGCAAACGCATCAACGTACACCGGGGTTGGGGTAGTTATTTTTTGAAAGGGACTCGTCGCTCGTTAAATATTAAAAAATGTAGCTAGTTATCATTGTATTAATTTAAATAGCAGTAACGAGTCGTGGCAGTATTCGTTATCTTTCTTCAAGTTTTAGGTGCTTCTTTCTCTTATGATTCGTTTTCGTCCACATCGCACCTATATGTACTCTTTATATACCTATATATTTTCTTTTTATTTATAAAATAATGGGAGAAAGTCGTCATGTATGGTGGTCTACGTAACAACTTGATATCTTGAGAATTATGCGATCAATTTTACTCATTCTGGTCTCGAATTTCTTTCCAGAGATCTTTAAATCTGCATCAAAATTTATTCTCCCCTCAAAGGTCAAATTTATCAAGATCAACTTTAAAATCGTACCTTGGAAATTTCCTATGGAAATATGTTTCGATTTACGGTTTTAAAATTGACCTGGATTTGACCTCTAAATTTGATCCCTAGGTCAAGTTCACCACTAGATGCCCATTTCCAAAATTTTTGTATTTAACATTGTTTTCAAAAATGTCATCCCTTCGAGGGGGTAGTCATGTTTCTGGTATACCCTGTAATCGTGGACGTCCACACAGGAAAAAATGTCGATATCACTTTTGTGCTGGTTGCAGTTCCTATTCATCGAGGGTGCAGAGGTACCACAAATCGGGACCAAGCCCTACAAGGTGAAGGAGACGATAAAGCCGGTCTCGCCGAACCGTTCCTACAGCCAAACGAACGTCATCACCACCAATAGTCTGAACTACAACAATGGTAACAGTACATTTATCTTGTACGACTCTGCCGCACAGTCGGAAGGGGGTAATTACCGATTACTTACTCATCAGGCGTGCTGATGTGTGTGAACACCCGATTGGATTTTCTTTCGTTAGTACAGTGACTTGGTGTAACCCGTTTCTCCCCGATTTTCAAGACAGACTCACCGATACCGTCTTTCTATTTACAATACGCCGATCGAGCGTCGAATGTATCGCCGTTAGGGGGCGCAGATCTCACGAGCATCGTCGCCCTGCCGTGGCCGCTCCGCCGGCCGAGGTTCGATCGGACGAGCGGTGATGATCGGTCGCGACCGGGCCCGGTTTGAAATGTGAACCCTCTTAGTGCAAAGTGCGTCTGTTGAGATTACGCATCATTTTCGTAGTGCGCATCGAGGCCGATTCCCCCGCCCCTCCCCCCGACGTAGTTGGCATGAGGACAATTAGATTCTCACCGTCCGCCCGTCTCTCGTTCACAGCATCACGAATAGAGTGCCAGCCGAGTGCAGCGAAAAGTGCAAGCATTCGAGAGACACTTTATCTGCTAGAACCGACGCCATCCGCTGGACAGGCTTGCACAGAGTGCCCGAGATTCCGCGCGGCTCTATCCCGTTGCTTTCTGCCTGCACTTGGGCCTACACTCGCCGACGAAAAATCGTTACACATGATTGTACGCCAATTTTGTCTCCATATGTGGCCATATGTGGTGTAATCATACATGATTATATGGAAAAGGGGGAAGAGGAGAAAACGCCGTTGTAACAAATTCCAGTAGCTGTTTATATTTATGGCGATCCGTGATGCGGACGTATAATTTTTAATTTTGTAATTATAATTTTATCTTTTTTTTTTTATTAAATAGCGTTTCTATTTTCACTGCCGGCATGTATAATTTCGTATAATTACGTACATGACGACATAGAGACAAAGTTCGTGCATAAATGGTATATAATTATATATGTACAATTTATATACAATTATATATGATTTTGTTGAATCATGTGTAATCTTTTTTGATCGGCTCGCTGACGTCTCAATAGCCGGATTTTTGACGACGCTGAGTCAAGTTTGATTCACTTCTTCTCTTTTCGGAAATAATTGTGATACAAATAAAATTATTTATTGACTATCTGTGATGATTCTATGATAATTCACTCATAAACATTTTATAGATGTTTAGGTTTTTATAGATTCTTCCCATACAACAACACAAGTTGAAAAAACCTTGCTGCAACATTGCAGCAACGTTGCAACATTGCAACAATATTGTAGCAATATTGCTGCAACTTTTGTGCTGTATGGGTCTGATTATCTCGCGATTGACTCGGACAACCATCATTATATTGTAACAACGCGAGATTGTGATGCAATTTTATTATCGCACACGATTGTATACCCGAATTAATATTAAATATAAAATATATGCGCGAGCGCGCACACACACATATACAGGGTATATAAAAAGTACCGGGCGAAATATTTTGAAAACTAAACATTTTAGAAAAAATTGTTTCAGACAAAAGTTGTATGGGATTCAAGAGGGACATAAAATAACCGTATCATTTTGTTTACAGATGACGCTACTTTCGAGATATTTACTGATCATTATTTTTCTTAAATGGAAATCCCAATGTTTTGTTATATTTTTTTACATATGTTTTCTATATATATTTTTTATATATTTATATAAATGTAATGTAATGTTTTTTATATATTTTTATATATTTTTTATATATGTTTAAAATGCTTAGTTTTCGAGATATTTCGCCGTTCCAGTGCTTTTTATACACCCTGTATATATGACCGATTCAAAGAGTTTATGTTATAACGGAGGAATGGAAATCTCAGAAACACCTGACCAGAAACCGCGTTTGGATGCAGCGACATATCCGGTGATAGGTACTCTGCCTTGACTCTTGCCTTGAAAGAAACGAGTCGAAAGACGAAGAGAAATCTCCAATAAACGTAGAAACGTGGAAACGGACAGTCTGTGCAACTCTAACGCACCGATCGATGCAGAGGTTCTGGTACTAAAGTGGCCGACGCTTTCATAGGGGTAGTCAGAGAGTCGTAGATCTTACCAACGCGCGGGGACGACGACGTTCTCCATATTTGATTAGCGTCGTGTTCTTGCAGACTATCTGACGAACGGCAACGTTGACTCACCGTACAAAACCGGCCAGACGAACGGTAATAAGGGGACTTTGATAGTGCACAGCCAGCAGAGGGTAAGAAATCAATTAAACGTCAAAGCGCTGCATTTACTACCCGCGCTACCCCGACCGAAGTGATCGTCTCTCGCGATCCTCTGTGACTTCTGCCGAAGCATGATTTTCGTTTGGTTTCTCTTGCAGCAGCCGGAGCGGCAGGTCGTGAAGGTAAGCAACGTTCTGTCTAACCGTTTGCCGTTTCCCTTGAGCCTTGAGGTTGTCCCGAAGCAGTCTTTAAAACTCGGAAGAAATGTATGGAAGCAGGGTTGTGCCGTAGATTCATCGCGGATTCTTCGTATATTGTCTGCGAGATGTGTATGACACGGTCCTCTCTTATGTAGACAATGTGAACTATGAATGAAATGAGACGAGGTACCCTATTTGTTCTGGCTATTAATTTCAAACGCAAAATAACAAATTGTATGCAATTTCCATTTTATTACATGACGGATTGGTAGATTTCTGAGGTTAGGAATATAATCAAGGAATTCTGTAGATCCCACCCAAATGGCGTTCAAAGATTACCCATCGTCTACGTAGGTGACATCTCTCACATGGTTCACATTGTCTACACGTAGATTATCATAATTGACACGTAAATCCTGTGTGAAAATACGTATATAAATACACCTCTACCTCTCGACGCGCTTGTCTTCCAACGGTGACGCAACCGACAAGTAGACACCCTTAGCATGCGAACCTGAGAGCGAAGGTTGGCAAGCTGCGAATTCGAAGCATTCGCTCATCGAGCTGTCACTCTCTCTCTCTCCCGCACCGCCAGTCGCGTTCCCCGATTTTGTACTCTCACGCGAAGCGAGTATGCCCTTCTCCTGTTTCACGAAAGAATTAACCGTGGTTGAGTGCTGTGTATTTACTAATGTAACAGGTCGCTCTGACGGAGAACGGCAATTGGCAGGAGATATCGCCGGAGGTAAGTGAACGAACGATCGCGTTGTACACTTGCCGCTTTATTTTCCGTTCAAACGAGATCTCGCATTGAATAAAATAAGAAGCCGATATATTCGTGCCACGTGCAACATTCTCAAGTACGGATTCCTTGCAGCACGGGACGAAGGATGTCAGCGCTACCTCGGGACCAGAGAGTACACCCAATTCCTCGAATTCGGAAGGTACGGCTCTTTGGCAGCTCCGAAAAGTTGAACCTGTCAGTGCCACATGCTAAGGCTTTCAAGTATCTTCGAACGTCCAGTTGTAATCTCTGAAGACTCAAAATATACAAGGTGTACCAGAAACATAAGTACCCCAGATCAACTCGAAGGGATGATGTTTTTGAAAAAAAAATATCAAATACAAAAATTTTAGAATCTGGAAATGAACATCTAGTGATAGTTTAAAGTTGACCTTGATTTGACCTCTAAATTTGATCTCAAGGTCAAGTTTAAGTTCACCACTGGATGCCCATTTCCAAACCCTAAAACTTTTGTATTTAATATTTTTTTCAAAAACGTCATCTCTTCGAGTTAATCCGGGGTATCCGTTTCATCTTTCTGGTACATCCTGTATATAAATTACACCATTGCTTGTATCTCTCTTATATATTATTGTAATAAGTCGTAATGAATTGTCAAACTTATTCATCATATTAAGGCCCTCCTTCATGTATCGCAATGTAGGATTGTTTGATATTGCAATAACTGTAGAAGGACCTTAAGTATTTCGAGAGGTTCGCACCGGTGATCGATTCCAACATTCTGTCGCAGAGAGAGGAAGGACACGACGAAAACGACGCGATTTCTTCGGCACGATCAAGAAGCGATTAAGCAGGTCTAAGACGAGAAGTAGATCGGTGGGTCCCGAAGATGACATTAACCACGAGGACGCTCATTCGAGATCCATATCCGCCGACAGAGCTCGCGATCCTGGATCCGGTAAGACCTTCTGCGACTTTAACTTTTGCACTTTTCCTCGGATAGAAATCAAAGGTGTCAAGTAGCAGCGGCGCGTAGTCTATGTGTCATAGATAGAACACCTTTAACACTGTGAATGCCCTGGTGGTCAGACCTCAGTCAGCACAAGTCTCCAAAGGACGTTCTAAGGATATCATGAGGACGTCTCAACGTCCTCCTAAAAACGTCCCCTATCTATTCAGAATTATAACGTTAATTTGACATTGAAATGATCGATGAACCGTTGAATCAACATTAATTCAACCCTCATCGACGTCGAATCAACCTTGAATCAACTTTGTGCTTCTGACTGGGTAGACATCCTCAGGGTGTCCTTTGGGGATAAAACAGGCAAGATAAAAATATATACGCCTTGAATTAAAGGTATCAACCTCGTTCTTAGCAACCCAATTGTCAGTTAGTCTTTTCTGTGCAAGCAATCAGCACGGCACTCAACGTGTTAATAGGTCTGTTCTTCTTCGAAGAACTTCTGTGAACTGAAGTGCTATAAGTTAGGGTAAAACAGATATATTTTCTTTCACTCCAACTTACTGTACTAGCGTGCACGAGTTCAGAAGTTCTTCGAAGAAGAACAGACCCAATGATCGTGTTTGATATCTTCTCGAAGTCCATTCGATCACAATCTTTGTCATACGCGAGGTAGAGATCTACCGATCAGATCGTAGATTAATATCTTTAGACCTACCGTCTTTCAAACGTACTGTACTCACCTGTGCGCACTCTGTCTTGCTCGCATATGTATTACACTCATGGTACTTGATCTCGGTAAGTGTCTTCGCAAGATAGAATGTAGTGCGAAAGCTTCGCTTCTCAGCGATTGGCGCAACCAGTGCGATAATAAGATCGTTTATCATTAGCTTGATTCCTTTTTTCCGATTGAAGATTTAAGAACGTTTTAATAATTATTGTCAAGAGTCTCGCTCATCACTGATGAATTTTCAACGCACGAAGACAAAATGACTTTTTTATTACCTGGGGACCAGACGAACACTCGGCTGTAAGAGCAGAAAAATATCTGCTCGGTCAATTACTCTGATTTACCTCAACTTTTTATCCCAACTGAATGTTCAGGACGTTTTCAGTCGCAGTGGCAGAGATATCTCATCTCGCAGTAAATGAATAAGTCAAACCGTCGATCGAATGCAAGGCATATCATATTTTTCTCGTCGCCGAGTTTTCGTCCACCCCCGTTCAATCACGCCAACTGAGATTTCCCTGTCGTGCGGTTGCGCCTGATAAGCTTGCAATTGCAGCTAGCGCAAACGTCTTCTCGATTTCTCGATTTCAGGCTCAGTGAGTGTTAATTAACACCGCAAGTCTCTATATTGAGATAAAATCGAGCGCGTTTTATCCATGCGCGCTTCATCTTTCCCTCTTTCTTTACCGTCGCATTTCTTTTTTAGTTCTTCCTTATTTTTTTACCGCGAGTATTGACGCATCTGACGAGAACTGATTTTGCCCCGTAGTGCATCTGTCGGTGCCAGAGCAATCAAGACGTTCGAGTCTGAGCGAAGCCTCGGGTATCAGCGGTACCTCCACGAGGACGTACGTCAACGAAGCTTCTACACTCGTCCTTGAGACTCTGGAAAACGGCATAAAGAAGTGAGTGTGTGACTCCATCTCGCGGCTAACATTTCGCGCCTTTGCGTCCTCGTTAAATCCAGTTTAAAGGAAATGTCGCGTTCCAATTGCCATAAATTTCAGTTACCGTCTATTTCCTGTGGTTAAAGTTCAACACCGAATTTTAATGAACACAAACGAAGTTAAATGCCACCAATTTTAAGGTCAAGATATCTATCGTCCAGCTTTTTGGGTTATGTTACAACATCGCGATTTATCGAGCGTCGATAAAGATAATGAGAAAATAATTTATACAAAAAGTGAAGAACAAATCTGTTGGAAGATATGGCTTTAAAATATACATTATCTTCATCTGAAGATGAAGATTTTGAAAATTATGTAAACTACGATTATAAATACGATGTGGAACGTAACACAAACTTAACCATGACGTTGAATGTAAAAACCGTTCAGTCAAGTTTGGCTTAAACTCGAAGTTGTGGAACTGGGCCTTAGAGTATGGCTATCCAACTCTGAAAGATCTTCTTTATCGACACCGAAATGAAACACACGTTCATTCCGACTTCAGGCACTACCTCGTACCACTTTCTCTCGCGCAGAAGAGCAAGTGGAGGAAAAAGGGCACAAAGCTGCACATATTCAACGACCACACGTTCATCGCCAAACACATGTCTGGGTGAGTTGTGCACGACGATATCCAATTCGTGTCCATAATACAGGTTTCTCGAACAATCTGTCTGAGTGAAAGAAATCTTCGATGTTGGAAGCAAAATGCTGCCAGACTTTGGAAAGTCAGGCTGAAGTGACGAGTTTTCGTTTCCAGAGGAACGGTTTGCGAGGTCTGCAAGAGAACCCTCGCGCGAAGACTCGGCAAGCAGGGCTACGAGTGCAGAGACTGTCAGATGAAGTGCCACAAGCACTGTCACGTGAAAGTCGACACGACGTGTCCCACGTCCACCATTCAGAGCATCGAGCTGTAAGTATCCAGCGTAATCTCTCGGCCGAACTCTCTACAACTCGGAATTCTTTTTCCAAGCTAACGAGGAAACCCGCAATAGGTGGCACCTACCTCTAACTTTAACAAGTTCTGAATATGCTGCGGTCTACGTCAACATAAGAGAGAAACAGCGAGACATACTTTTTCATTATTATATTTTTTATACATCACACAGCGGGTTTCCTTGCGAGCATAGTCGCCCAAGCTCTAACGAAGCTTCTCGAGATTCTCGTCTCGTTGAAGTCTTCGTTAGAACTTGGAGCCGAGACATTTGAAAATTGATTGATCGCGACTGTGTCTTGACATTTATCTCTTACGAACACGTGTTTGTAAACATTTCCTAATACTATTTTTCTAACCCTTTTCGCGTAAGGTCCCTACTGCCAGTACTGAGCGAATAGGATAGGTAAGATCATAACAGAGCTGTGAGATGAGTATTTGCTAGTATGGTATCGCGCTAGTGATGATTGCGCATGATTATGACATGCATATTCCCGGTAGATCGATCGATATATATACGTTTGTGAGAAAATACATTTGCTTGAGAAAATACATTAACCCTCGCTTGCTCGCATTACCCACATTGTTCCCCCGTCCGCGCATTACCGCGAATCGTCATCTTCAGGGACGTGTCGATGAAGCATGGTAGAATGTATACTCATGCGTGCGTGTGTGTATATGCGTGTGTGCGTGCGCGCGTGTGTGTGTGTGTGTGTATGATTAATATTTTACTCAGGATTGGGAAAGTTACTTTTTTAAACAGTAAATTAGTAGAGGAGGAGGTCCCAATCAGAACCATAACGTTAATTCGACGTTGATTGGACGTTGAAATGATCGATGAAATGTTGAATCATCATTAATTCAACCCTCATCGACGTCGAATCAACGTTGTGGTTCTGACTGGAGTGGTATTATGGCTAAACATAAATGCAACAGTAGACTGCAGACCTATCGAATAATTACTTTGGTATAAGAACCTCGAGAAAGAGACAGTACTTATCAGCACTCTTATGGGGTCACATTAGCAAAATATCTTGCTGTTTCATTTAACTTCGTATGACTTGAAAGATGTACAGCCAAATAAAATGTCGAGTAACAAACAAACGATATTTATGCGATATTATAAGGTATTTTATCAGAGTGTTCACAATTTTTATTTTTGTTTTATGTTTTGTACCTTGGAATACAGAAAAGAAACTTTTTCCCCGTAAGAAAAGTAACAATTACATTCTTCTTCTTCTTCTTTCAACCAAGACATTACTGGAAAGAAAATTTCAACAACGTTACAAGTAGCAGTTCCCAATCCTGTCTCTACTTTAGCTGAGGGTTGAGATCGGTGTAATAAACTCCGCTAGACTCGAGCTCTCGAGCCGATGCCGCGAAGGAAATCAAAATGAATCCCATAAAATTTGCATTGACAACAGCCAGTCGTTGATCCTCTCGCGACGCAATGTCGTGGATCGAGCTCGCAGGAATTACGCCGATGTCGAGCCCCGTTCTACCCTCCTTTGTTCGCCTCCTACTGACCTTCAGAGAGTATCGGCGAGCGGTTTCACGCGCTGGCATTTCTCATTTTTAGGACGTACGTGAAGGCTCCCCAGTTCGAACGAAAGCCCTCGACGCGTCGCCTCTGTTGACGATAACGTCCTCGCGTCGTTCGACGCGATCTACCGTTTATTTGCGACATAGGACGCCGCGTAAAAGTGGCAACTGCTTGGAGAACGACCGCAACGAACCGATCTTCAGCCGTGGCAGGCATGTCTTGGCACGCTGGAGCTCCCTCTAGGCTTATCACGCTCCCTCATCACTCCGTCGAGTCCCCGCAAATTTCTTCCATTCACGAAAACGAAGGGACAGAGTATTTTGTTCCCGCACGAGAGGGCTTTGCGCGGACACGCAAGCACGTAACTTCGACGTCCTAACGAGAAGCCACGCGAGCGTCGTGGAAACTTTCGACACGTGACCTTGGACACACGCAGTGTGTCGCACACGAGTCACTCCCTGGCGACGAGACTGGGTCGATTGAGGGCGGAGAAAGGAAAGTGAAGAAAATTCAACGAAGAAGCAACTTCCGCTCGCGGCTCTCACCCTGCCGATCTCTCGCCGAGGGTCATCGCGCCTTCTAATGATAGTAAACAAACTCCGAAGTGTTGGACGTGCGTTGTCCCACGAAATGGGAAGCTCGGAGTTCGACCCCTCTCCCTCCTCGAGAGATATTTCGGAAATATTCGATATCGGTTTCAAAGTTCGGTCGAAATTTCCAAGTCGTTCGTATTTCACCGGAAAACCGCTTCATTCGATCCCATACAGTACATAAAGTTGAAAAAAAACGTTGCAGCAATGTTGCAACAATATTGCTGTAACTTCTGTGCTATATAGGACTGACCATTTTTCTCTTCGTGCTTGGCTTTGCGGGAGTCGCGTCGCTTCTCGAACTTCCCTACGTTCTTCTCCTTCGGCATAACGCACGTCCGCCGTCGATTTTCGCGAAATGCACCGTAACGTATCCGCGGAGAGTTGAAGAAAGATATTCACGTAATTTTTACCGTCACCTAGAGTGTCCTGTCGTAGTAATCGTGACGTAGCTCGCGCTACGCCGTCGTCACCGGTTGCTTGCGTACCGAGAAAGCAGCTCCGTACGGGGAAAAATGTCTGGTCATATAGAAAAGGATGCATTGTTTTGTCTGTGCGTTCTCTCTCACACACTCTCGATGGAAGTGGAATAGAGGAGACAGTTGCTAACCTGTACGACAGTACAGCCACTGTTTTTTTTTTTCGATATAGTGATCAACCTAGATCACCGTGCCTTCAGCTCACCCTGAGGTATATACAGGTACAGCCGCTATACTGTCGTACAGGTTAGCAACTGCCTTCCCTACCCAGTTAGAACTATACTGTTGATTCGACGTTGATTTGATGTTAAAATGGTCGATGAAACATTGAATCAACGTTAATTCAACCCTCATTGACATCGAATCAACGTTGTGCCTCTGACTGAGTATTCCCCTTCCCTCGAGAGTGTGTGAGAGAGAACGCACAGACAAAACAGAGTGCATCCTTTTCTACATGAGGTCTACCCCACCCTTGAAATCTGAGAAAACATGCTAGAACAGTCTAGGTATACCATGTCTATGGGTTAAATGAAGCAATCTGCTGGGGTGAGATATGAGAACTGAGTAGTTCCGCTTGAAGTCGTCAGAATCCAGCCTGAACGATCGGGATTTCTCGAACAAACTGCTGGTCCTTTCACTTGGAATGTCTGAGTCGTATTTCGCCGGAAGACGTTTTTCTCCGTGCGTCCTTGTTGGTCCCGGGGAGGATCGACGAGTTGAAATGATTCGTTCGATGGCCGAGGGAGCCAAAGACGCGATAGCACAGTCAGACATCGCCGGGATGGCCGCGCAAAGTAACGTGATTGATGACGATAACGATGTACGTGTATTAATAACGATAAGTAGCACGACAACAATCGTCACGATAGATTATAAATAACCACGAGATAATATTAGGTACATATATGATAGCGAGAACGGCGAGAGGAAAGCAGAACGCACCGAAACAATTGTCGCAGCCGAATTGCCGTAGTCGCTCGTTTAAATTTTGCGTTTGGAAAAAGGAAAAAAAACACACACAAACACAAACGCGCGCGTACGCGAATGGAAATACTTAACACGGCGCCGTGATCGATTCGGCAGGAATATTGCCGAAACCGATATCCGTTAATTATTAGAAAACTCGCTGATTAAGTATTAAATATTAATTTAATATGAAAACAACGCATGTATTGGCTTCCGCAGCAAGTAATCTCAAGGGTTTCTGCGGTTTTATGATTTCATGGAACGCACACATCGTATCGTAAAATTGTGACGACATAAAACTTCAAAATTATTTCGTTTTACCCGAGAATTTTCTGATCGCACAGAATGTGTTAATTTTGTTAGCGACGCTCTCGAATCAAGAGGATTCGTTTCGATATTGCGCGCTGTTGATCAATTCTTCACACACTTGGCGGCACTTTTTCTCGTCCAGACAGACACACACAGACATACAAACACGTGCGCACGCACCTTACATAACTGTGTACCTGTATAGTTTTGCCTTAAATGCAAACGCGTCTAGTCACACGTTATCGAAGAACGACGATGGGGCTGCCTCACTTCCGTTATCGCGTCCACGGCGACGAGGCGTTCAAGAGCGCGAGAGATCTTGCGGGAATTGCATACGCACACAGGAGCACACAGTACAGGGTGTAATATCAACATATAAGTTAGACGGGTTGCCTGTCCCTATTCGGACGATAATGCAGGAGTTGCCGAAAAAGTTACTCGTTAACCTCTGCGTTATCGCCTGAATAGGGGCAGGCAACCCGTCATACTGATTATATGTTGATGTCTCATCTTGTATGTCCATGACGCAACTTGATCGATGACGCGATTCGTCTTTGCGTATACACACAAGCGGTCGACGAAATCGTTTCTCTAACGTAGTGTGATAATAATAATATATTTCCTTACAAGCAATCACGCGTTGGAAAGTAATTCGTACCCAGTGTGCTTCTGAGATTATCGACGCGATCGCGAAATGCGCCATCGAACGGGAGAGGTCTTTCCTGGGTACCGAGCAACGTATATAGCAACGCATCGCGCAGGACCCGTCGAGATCCTGCGACAAACTGCGCGCAGTCGGTAAACTAAATATACACATACTTAGACTTTTTTTTACGTCTCGCTATAACGAACATTGTCGGAGTACAAAATGCAATCAAAAGCGCAAGTGGAGAATCAACGACGGAGCCTAGGCGCGTAAGCGGTCTATAGGGTGTCAAATTTCAAATGCATCAGATCGAATATCTCGGGAACTGAGCGCGGCAGGCAAAAATGTCCCAGACAAAAGTCGTTCAAATTAATTGGTAGAGGAGAATGATGCAATAAAAAATGAGGATTTCTATTCAAGATTTTAAGATTGACCTCGAGATCTCCTCTGCTCTCAGGGTTAAATAAGTGCCGCCATTTGATGCGTTTGATAAAACCTACAAGTTTTGTCCGAAACATTTTTATCTGCCGCGCTCGGTTTCCGAGGTACTCGACCTGTTGAAGTTTAACACTCTGTATATCAGCATGTAGCGATATATTTACACATATATATAGACATATATAGAAACATATATATAGAAACGACTATATAGAAAGCGACAGCGATTTCTCCCGAACAAGTCTGACGAGAGATAGAAATAACGACGGGAGACCACTTTTCCCCCTTTCTTCCTCGTTTCGCATTTTCACATTCTGGAGAACGCAGCTCCGCGATAACAACTCGCTCCGATCACATCACGTGATTAACTGCGTCAGTGGGAAGAAGATCGTAACACATGACATTAGAGTAGCCGCAGAGAAGGCGAATAACGTTTCTGTTTCGTTAGAACCCCTACAGCACAAAAGTTGCAGCAACATTGCTGCAACGTCGCTGCAATATTGCAACATTGTTGGCAACGTTGCAGCAATGTTGCTGCAACTTTCTGTGTTGTATGGGAGTTTTCGAGAAAATTGGGAATTTACCTTCAAGCGATCTGCCGAGTCATCACGCGTTGTCAAGTTCATCAAGGCAAAGTGTTGCGTCCCTTCTTCCTCTGACTGTCCAAGCAACCGAGTCCCTAAAGCTCGTATCAGGTTAGAGATCGAGAACTGCAAGTATCAGAGGAGCTTGAAGGTTACAGATTGAACATTGAAGCAACCGGAGCCCGAGAACCCCGACCCTTAATTCGCAGTCCTCAATCTGCAGTATCCAGTCTGATGCGAGCTTGACGAGTCTCATCAGCCACGTAGTCATTGAACGCAGCTGGGCTTGAGCAAGCTAATAGTGCGAAAGCGCCGTTGCGCGACGCGACATCGCAGGAGACGCGGTGGAGATCGAGCAACGTTAGTCGATCTTTCCCTGCAAACTTACACGTACTGGCTGTGAAACACACCGTTAGAGACGGATCGAAGGCCACGAAGCGCGGAACACGCGTGGGCTGCATTCACGGCTCAGAGGAGGCGGCTTTGAAGCGAAGGCTGGTCGATTAAACTCGTACAAACTGGATCGGCGCAAATTTCCCGCACGGTGGGTCTCATGTGGTATTACGGCATACGCAGAGGACATGATCGATACAGTGTATGCGCGACCATCATCTCTCCGTTGGGTTAAAGTAAACCAGCCGGCGGAGGATAGCCTTAGTCATGGTATTGTCGGTATTTTATAGCGGCACAGAATATTCGTGTGGCAATCGCGATCATGAATCTTTTCCTCTTTAAGGTAAGCTCGTGAGGAGCGAAGAATTGGAGGTACATGGAGGTACCTCGGAAGTAATCACTTTCCATCGACTCGCGATTAATCCGTTGGACAGTCGACGGGAGGAAGGTCGCGAGACCTTTGCCTCATTTTTGTGCCATTTGCTGAGAATAAAAGATCTAGTTTTCCTATTCGACACGGCTTGCGAGGAAAACTTGTCGAGAAGAGGTACCGTCATTTGTAATTTTTTCTTCCATCAACTGGTGAATTCGAAGCTATCGGATTATCGATAAACCGCAATCGTTGACCGCCGTGCGGGTAATTTCAACGATTCCGCTTCGCCCTTCAAGAGCGGCGTTCCTTTCCCGGCTCTCCAAGAGCCATCCTCCTCCCTCTGTGAGTCCGCCCGACCTCAGCAACGACGTAGATCGAAAAAGAGATCCAGCGACTGAAGATCCACAACCGCCGGCCCGGTTGGCGATCTCTTCAGCGCTTCTTCGGCTCATCGCGACTCGACGCCGCGGTGAGTTCTGCACGAGCGAACACGAGCGACGCCGCGTATTCCTGGGAATAGCGCGCACGCATCTTTACGCAATCGAAAGTACAACGACACGATACCTCGCGGAGCGACTTACCTCTAAGGTTATTAACTCACACGTGGCGCATTGCTTCTTTTCTTCTTCTTCTCTTCTTCTTCTTCTTCTTTTCTTCTTCTTCTTCTTCTTCTTCTTCTTCTTCTTCTTCTCTTTCTTCCTTTTCCTCCTGGCTCGCTCTGCGATTACGCGCACGCACACATACACACCGTTGTTCCCCGCCCTGCTCTCCCTCCTTCCCCTTCGGCCCGTGGAACAACCCTCTGTTCGTACGTTGGAGAAAAGATCGCGAGTCACATTCATCGTAATTCGTCGAGATATTGAAGCAATTTACGAGGCGCCAGCGCCGGAAAGCGCGCCGGCGACGACGATTGTGCCTATAATAAAATGTTGTTACACAATAATGTTATACATTTGTCATATAGAAAGTCTATTTATGAACGGTATTTCCAATTGTTCTGCAGATAAAGAAGAAGCTTCTTATTCTCGATCCCACGTCGATCGCGCATCTCTCTCTCTCTCTCTCTCTCTCTCTCTCTCTCTCTCTCTCTCTCTCTCTCTCTCTCTCTCTCTCTCTCTCTTTTTCTCTGTACGTACGTATAACATATGAAGAGACCATGACGATGTCGATTATTATGCATTGCCGATTTATAATACAATACGATATGTAATGTAATAATGATGATATGTAATAATACGATTATATATGCATAGCTATAATACGTATATCTATATATATATATAACGTTATCATTAATATAATATTAATTAATTCTCGCTACAACGCGGACGACGGTAGCAACGATAACGGTATATATAATGTAACGTTACAGAAAGTAATATATTATGATCCTACAACGTTATCTCTCTCTCTCTCTCTTTCTCTCTCTCTCAATTTGTTCGCCCACTCCTCCTCTTCCGACTGATCTCCCTCGCCGAAAGTACGCCGTAATCCGCGTCTTCCCGGCGAGGGACACACTCGAGCCTTAATCCTCTCTCGGTTTCTCGCACGCGAACTCGATGCCGGCGAGACAAAAATAACCCACCTTTGAGCGTCCGGTAGGGTGCGAAAACTCGAGGGAGAGATTTCATGGTGAGCCAGCTCGTGTGAGCGAGGCGATCGAGGCGCGTCGCAGTTCCTTTTTTTTCCTGCAACGTCGCACGTGCGATTAATTATCATCCTCGCGTGTTGCGCATTGTTACACACTGGTGTAAACAACGAGATCAAACCGTCTCGGCACTGCGTCTGCAATCACTCGGCCAACAAGTGAAACTCATCAAAGAGCCATCGACTTGGCGTGTCTCTCCTCGTTAGGACAAAACATTTCGAGATTTGCACGGTTGCGATAAGGATTCGGCGAAGGCGGAACAATCGAGAAATACAAATTGCGGTCCTCATGGTTTCCTCTCGACAACGAATTTTCAGCGGATTCAGTGAACTTAGAGAATGTCAGCCTGCGGCCCAGCTCCGCAGACGCGTTCCATTGCAAATTGCGCTTTACGTAAAATTAGGTTAGGATTGTGATGTATATTAGGAGTGTGATGTAGTTTTGAGGATTTTGCAAGAGATGGAATCCATCTTTTGCCATAAAGATGGGGAAAAGTTTTAGAAAACGATGGAAAATATTTCGATTAAGATATTCGTCCATTATCTTGTTTAAGTGAATCAGTTTTTGAGGAAAAAATCTTCAAAACTAAATCACACTCCTAACATTTTCCTTGATGGAAACGTCGAGGAAGGTCGTCACAGCAACTTTCCAGTTTTCAACATGGCACATCCGTGAAGCCAGACTTTTGACAAAAATTCTATTGGAACATAGTTCCGGGAAGAAACGAGAAATTTTCATAGGAAATTGCGTTTTATTCCGTCGCTTCGTGAATACTGGTTCTTCGATGGATCGAAATGTCGGGAAGATCCGATATCTTCCGCAGTTCTTTCTTCTTAGCTTCCCTCTCTCCCTCGTCGCCGCCACGCGCACATTTGGCACGTGCGTAACCAGCAGGAGGCAACCGGCGATCTCGCGCCCCTCGTTAGAGGGCCACGCTTTAATCGACGAATTGTCGGAGGGCTTAGAACCCTTAGCAGGCCTCGAAAGAGGCTTTCACAGCTCGCTTGCGCCGCGATAAACCATCTTTACACCTGCTTCCGACACGTGCGGCGCCCGGCACGTGACTCTTACCGCGACGAAAACTTCGCCGCTGGCGGCTGAAGAGAAAGGGAACGCTCTTCGTTTGGCTGTGAATAGCCGCATTGTCGAGGGTAAAATCCGGCCTGGAAGTCCGGAAACCGGGGAGCCGGGTCGCTTCTATTTTTCACGCGCTACGTAAACCTGAGGGAAAAAGTCTCACATATTTATAATTCTGCAGGTTTCATATTTTCAATGTTTAATTCACAACGCGTGGCGTGGGAAATATTTAAATAATGCATGCTATTTTTTGCGTATTCAATTAATATCTAATTTGCAACGCTGCCGAAGCTTGCAATATTAGATTTCATTTGTATATTTAATTTTATTATTCACATGCACACGTACGAAAATTATATCTGTTTCGGACGAACGACAAATTGCAAAACAAGGGTGCCAGTAATCTTTCGTTTTTAACAATTATTTTTAATAATTTTTTTTACTTATATTTCCAAAGGACTAAGATAAGTTTTGTTAGAAAAATGGAGCCATATAATATTTGTGTTTAACACAATAGCGTAGGAGGCACACATCAAGACGAAATTAAATAATACTGAAAGCTCTTTTATTCATACTTGTCATAAAAAATTCATTATACTATTTAAATTAGTATTTATTATTACCACAATTATTATTTAATGTTATTTAAATTATTAAAACAATGCTTTTGTTCCGTGTACGATTCTATTTAAAGCACCAATTGCAGATGTAAATATAATTAAAATTGGAATTCATGTTGCTATTATTGGAAGAGCGAACCTGCTGAAAATACAGAAAATCCTGCACATAATTTTAAATATTTAATAACACGTGCCATTTCTGGAATATTTCTGGAATATTTGACCAAATTGTTGAATTGAAAATTTAATTCTATTTTCCATCCAATTTGTGTCGACGATGCGGGTTGGGAGGGATTTAATCTCGTCGGCGATTGAAAATAGATCTTTTTATATACATAGGATGGGCTCTTTTGAACAATTGCTAGCAACTCTTGGTCATTTTAGCGTTAAAATTACGCGCATCAGCTCCATGTTTAACATGCTGATCTTCCGCACCGGCACTGCGATAGCATCGCTTCTGTTTAAGTTACGTATAATCGGCTAAAAATGTGAAAAATCGGTTTATCGGTTTATCGACTACAACAACGACCAGAGAAACGAGGTGAAAAACTGAAAAATAATGCGCTGATCTCGAAAGTTAAAATTATTCACCGTATCTTTAATAAATACGCAATGCCACGATCGCTTAATTGCATAAAGATATGTGAAATTTAATGATGTAAATATGCAATTAATTGAAAGCTGAAATATAAAATTTGTTATTAAAAAATGAAAGATGTAAAAAGTTTCAAAATTATTTAAAAAGTAATCAAGATTTTAAAAAGCACGAATTTTTATTGAGTTTTTTCTCTTTATTGACTATTTAAAGCCATTCTGTGTTAATCATTATTTCGTATATGAATTTTAACATTTTATGGACTGTATGTCCAGTATAAGATAACAATTATATACTTGATTTTAAATTATGCACTGCTTTTGGTTAAGTTTTCTAATTTCTTTCACGCCTTTTACTATATACTTTTTATTATATTATATTTCTTTTTCCTTCCAATTTCTTCTTTGCTGCTTGTTTCTTCTTTTCCTCGGTGATTATTTTCTTTTATCTTCATAACCAATTTCCGGCTAATACCGGAAGTTGAAAATATTATCATTGGGTAGAATGTACCCAGCTTAATCATGAAAATTTTCGGGATTTTTGCTAAAAATCATTTCCTTTCATTTTAAAAGAGGCGGACGGGTGGTTTGAAACATCCTGTATAATAGAGGTTATCATAAAGGTTATGATAGAAAGGTGATCGAAACGTACACATTTAAAGCACTAGAATATCTATTTACTTTTTAAACTAATGTTGACGATACTATCAAGTAGCCTTATTTATAAAAATTTATTATTTATAAAAATACTTGTGAAATTAATTTTTTGACATGTTATTCCTTAATTTGCTTATCGGTACTCGCGAGTTGTTAATGATTAATAATGATGTTTCTGCATTTACGTCCGGCGATTAGTACTCTTACCTCGTGGGTCGCGCGATCAACGGAAGCGCGATAGTCAAAGTGTTTTTTAATTCCCCGCCAAGTTCAGCCGGCACGTTGCACACGAGTCTCACTCGCCGAAGTCCGCTCCTTTCCGCACCAACGTCATAAGTTCACGTCGCAACGTGCCGTCACGCGGCACGTGACGTTTTTCATCATGCGCCGCGACCGATCACGTTTCCTTCTTCATCTTTCAAGCACGCTCTATGATGCGATCGCGTCAGACGTCACGAGAGGAAAGCTCCTCGAGAGAGCTTGCGACTCGCAAAGGATCTGCAGGAGCTTTGCCGCCTCGGCGAACGATACGCCTTCAGCGGAAACCTTACCTTAGCGATATATGGCTGCCTGCAAACTCCATCAAAATTGGGAAATTGATTTTTAAAGGTAACTTGTTACTTTTGTACTCAGCACGGTCGGGTAAACTTAAGAAAACCTCCCACGTTTAATTGCTATAAATTTAAAGTTGAGGGCACTCAAATTACATTGTCTCTCTCTCTCTCTCTCTCTCTCTCTCTCTCTCTCTCTCTCTCTCTCTCTCTCTCTCTCTTTCTCTCTCTCCTCCCCTCTTTCGCTTGTCAGTATTATATTATTTTCCTAGATTTACCTACTGTGATAAGGTAACAAACGAACATTTATTCTAACCTAATCTAACCCTAACCTATCCTAACATTTGGGGTATAAAAAGCTCTCCAGACGATCATTTAGGCAAAAAATAATAATTAGGTGACTAGAGTGCCAGGTAAATAAATATATGATCACAGTATGTAGACTTGTCTAGGAAAATAATGTAATATCATCAGCGATGTATGGCGTTGTCTAAACTCTCTTGACATACTAAACGTCTGTTGTCAAATTCACTTAAGGGCGTTCACTTGCGACCATGAGACGTAAGAAAAATTAAATCAATAGCAATCTCATTGTGCATCAATCTAAAGTTTATCTATTTGGAATCTTCAAGTTACTCCCGCTCTTCAAGGAGGATGAAGGAGGATGAATCTATTAAGTGCATGCAAAAGTTTTAGTCTTTTCTTCAGCCCCCTAATGTAATTCTTTTGAATGGAAATATTTTTCCGCCCTTTTGTGTTTTTGTAAGATTGGTATTTTCTAACGCGCCCTTCGTTATGATTCATGATTGATGCACATAACCTTAAAAAAAACAGGTAATACAATCAGCGGCAAAAAACTCTATATTCGATGTGAATCTATTTGCTCTACATGTATATTTTACGTACAAAGTAATCATAAAAGTCACGATTACGTTTGTTACAATTATTCGAAAACTGCAATCTCGTCAGCGTTATCAAGCTGTTGCTGACAAGGAAACCGATCCGCAATGACAACGACGTTCCAAGTTACTTTCCAATCTTGGAAACCACCGGGTGTCCTTCTCCCCGGCGGACCACTTCGCTAAATCGAGCATCAAGCTTTCGCTCCATGAAAACCGTATCTCCCGAAGAGTGGCCTAATTGCTTTAACTCCTCAACCTTTCGCCGATCGCCGCGCGCGAACCGGAGGACTGGAATAGACCCCGGAACTCGGCTGCGCCTAATAAAGGGCAATAGCGCGGTCCCTTAAAGAGCA